GGACATCCTAAGATCACAATAGGTGCTATATAAATGTCTTTCTTTTGCCTGAATGGACAAGAGACTCCCTTTTTAACATCTTGATGTGGTACAACAAGTAGAACTGAGTAGCACATTGTATGTTTGCAGTACTTAAAGGAACACACACAATGGATCTACAGTGAGGCCTTGTCAATTATACAATGAGATACAAACCACAGAATATTATTAATCATTGCAGAATTGTTGCATGCATCGCAATAAAATCTTACTCAGTTCTTTCTCTGTAATGATTCTAGTGATTAAATATTTAACTTGCTCTTGGAGAATAGAGACAGTGGTTTGAGAGTGTGTTTATTGCTAAATGTGCGTAGGGGTAGATTGCTGTTGATCTTCAAACTCAGTCAGTCATAAAATCATAGAATATTATGGCACAGAGTCTTCTGGCTCATCATGGTTACATTAGTTCTCAAAGAACTCTCTTTTAAAAATAAAATTTTGGGGGAATGTGCACATTCCTGGTAAGGTCACCATTTATTTACAATGAGAATATCCATTTATACGGATTGTCCTACCCTTTCCAAACTTTTTTTCAAAGGTTTCCTATTGTTATCCCTTTTCTTTTTAAAGACCATGGATTCTTCTTCCATCCCTGTTTCCTGTGAAGTATTTCAGGTCCTCACAACATAATTTAAAAATCCCTCAAACTCTCCCTTCTCCTGGAATAGAAAACAATTGTTAAGAGATTAGCCAGTGTTTTATTTTCTAATTGAAAATATTGGCTTATCCAAAGTATGTGCACTAAATCACATAATTCTGCTGCTCACTAAAGTGCCAGGACCCCATTGAAAAATGTTTTTCACCACCAAAAGTGCAGCACTTTTGCAGTTCTGCATTGAAAAGTCAGTCTGGATCAAATGCTCACTCCAGCCCCCACTATTGCATAAATGCTTCTCCCTCCAGACTTTATGTCAGCTCTGATGAAGAGTCATCTAGATTCGAAACGTTAGCTTGTTCTGTTTCCATGGATGTTGCCTAACTTGTTGTGATTTTTGTTTTCAGGACAGATTCCAGCATCTGCAGAAATTTGCTCCCACATTTATGCGTTCTGTATGTTTACATTCAGGTTGATCAAATAGACGGCCAGGAACTCATCACTGAGTTCACGATAGTTTACTAAGTCTATGAAGAAACTTCCTACCATCCAGGCCAAAACAACCTACTTGATTGGCACCACATCCACAAATATTCATTGCTCGTAGCACCGACATTCAGTAGCGGCAGTACGTACAATCTACAAGACGCATTGCAGAAATTCACAAAGGCTCCTGAGACAGCACCTTCCAAATCCACAACCACATCCATCTAGAAGGATAAGAGCAGCAAATATATGGGAACACCACCACTTCCGAGTTTCCCTCTGTGGTATGCACCATCCAGACTTGAAAATACATTGTCGTTCCTTCTGTGTCATTGGGTTAAAATCCTGGAACTATCCCTAACCCTAACCTTAACTCCTTCCTTAAGACACTGTGGGTCTACCAAGCATGGACTGCTGTAGTTCAAGAAGGTAGCTCACCATCACCTTCTCAGGGGTATTTTCTTGTGGGATGCAGGCATTGCTGGCTGGGCCAGGATGTATTGTCCATCTCTAGTTGCCCTTGAGAAGGTGGTAGTGAGTTGTCTTTAACTGCTGCAATCTGTGTGCTGCAGGTAGACTCACAATGATGTTAGAGAGGGAGTTCGAGGATTTTGACCCAGTGACAGAGAAGGAATACTAATATATTTCCATGTCAGGATGGTGAGTAGCTTGGAGGGAACTTGCACCTGGTGGTGTTCCCACCATGGGCAATAAATGCAGACCCACGATCCACAAGATACAAAGACCAAAAAAACATATGACCTGTGACACATGTGAGTGTGGTTTATTAATCCTGGAGGAGAAATGGACAGATGGCTTGGTGTTGATCTCTGTAGCTTGATACAGCAGCTGTCTGCTCAGTTTTCAAAGTGTTAGAAAACTCTTGGCCAGGTGTGATGATACTGTGGGTTTAAGAGATTACTTTGTCCTGTATTTTAAAAAGATGTTTTAAGACAGAGGTGTGAAGCTGCCTATTGAAGATGTGGAAACAGCTTGGGTGGCTTTGTGTTTTTTTTTTGTAAAAGCTGAAACAATAGAAGCAGCCTGGCTGGTTGTGGCTAGCTGTCACAGACCAGGATTTCTAGCTTCTGGTCTTTTAGCTTTAAGCAGTTGCTGTTGGAGTTTCAACAGGGTAGAAGATGCTGAAGTTTTGGAAACATAGAAGCTATCTTTTCCCTCTGTCAGTTACAACTAGAAGCTGGGTATTCTCTCTGTTGCTGGGTTACCTGTGAGACAAATCTATTTTTCTGAATTTGCCTTTTTGGCAAGGGGTGTGTTTATGGGGAGTTACTGTATTGGAACAGTTAATTAGTAATTGTTTCTGTATCTATTATTCAGTTAAGTTTTCCAATAAAGTTATTCTACGTTCTTCTTTCTTTTGTTGTATTTTATCTATAGTGTTTAAATAAATTGTGTTTTGCTTAATATCGAGTAGATGACCAATCGAATTGCATCCGGAATACAGCATGTTACATTTGCTATTAAAATAAGAAAAAGCTAGGGTTTAGGCTATCATCTCAAAATATTTTGAGGCGGTCTAGTCTGATCCACAACACTGGTTTTCCTCCAGCTGACGGTCAAACAACTGCCTCATGAGGATTGTCTCCTACCTCTGAGCGTACATTAGCATATATTATTTCGAGAAGCTGTTTGAGCATCCTACACCGATCATTTGTTCAAATACCTCTGGCCAATGATGCCAGGACAAGCCTCCAAAGTGTATTCTCTTCTGTTCATCACTTTAAACATGAGGTTTTCTTTTAGTTACCTCTTACTGGGAGGTTTTGTAAGCCTTTACTTGAAAAAATATTGTCGGTTGTTCCATGTCACTGGGTTAAAATCCTGGAACTAACATACAGATGAAAGGGCACAAGCCTTGTCAACTAGGAATGTTATTATGTAAGTCCACAACCAGGAATCCTTAGAATGTCGTTGGATTGTTTTCTCATTTTTCTAGGGAGAAGAGAATTAATCTTTCTGCCAGGTGGCTTCATGCTGTGCTTCCAGTTCCATAAGGATCACATTTTATCTGACCGAGCCTGAACCCAAAAAAAACCCAGCTCAGCCCTGGGAATTCTATCCACAGAGCCAAGGCTTCTCCTGAAGGAGGAGTCAGTTCCTTCAAAACCCTCCCCTGCTCCTCTGAAGGTAATTAACGTCAGAGGCCAAAATAACCTTGGTAGGCCAGTTTGCACGGAATGTGTTCAAAGTGCAAGATAGCGTGCAGGGTGTGGCTAATTCTGACCAGTAGGCAAAATAAACTTGCTTACCAAGGAGCTGTTTCAGGTCAGAGTCAAATTAAGTTTCCATCCACTGGCAATCCCAGTTCAAGGAGCAATTTAATCCAAAAACAGGCTATCTACTTATTTTGCTGCTGTGCATACCGCCCCACAGGTCACTGCATTGGTCCCTTGGACCACAGGAGCAAAGAGAGCTCTGTAACACCAACTCACTACTGATGGCGCCAATGATCTCCCACTCACTGTTGCCCAAAAGAATGGTAAAAACACTCCTGTTCCTGGAAGGATCAAAGGGGACAATGATAGGGTTTGGGATTTGGGGGGGGGTGGAATATGTGATGGTTTAGGGTAGGGGGTCAGCGGCAAGTTTGTTCATAAGATCTGAGCATCACTGGCTAGGACAAAATTTGTTACACATCCCTAATAACCCAGAGCTATAAAGTGAGAAACAACACTGCTAACAGTGACTTGAACTGCATACATTTTTATGTTGCCCTGGGTCAAAATTGGATGGCCACTTGACAGAAATGGTTATTTTCTAACCAATTTGTTTCGTGATGCTAGCATACACCTCTAGAGTCGGTAGGAACTTGAAACTAGGACACCTAACTTAGAGGTAGGAATACTACCACTGTGCCACAAGAACCCCGTATAAAGAAAAGAAACCTGCACAGCTACAGGATAGAGTGGGGAAATAGGTCTCACCCATTGTGAGTTAGAGTGCTATTTCAGAATCCTTTCTGGGCTAGACTCGCCCAATATTGGCTCAATAAACTGTCGTTCACCTGTACCTTAAAGCTTCTGAGATAATTTCGTAAAAGAATCTACTACAACGGCATTCAGACTCAGACTCACTCAGGATGCAGAATGGCATACAGCCATAATTGACCTGGAAGCCTTATCTGGGAATGGAATGGGAAGATGACTCTGTACCACACTGAGAAAGACAAAGCAATGGGGTTTAGTCAGGGATGGGAACAAAGTACAGGCTTCAAGACATAAGATAGCACCTGGGAAGATCGGGAGTAACTGATACTCTGCCACTTATGTGTGATGAACAATGGAATTGTTGTATGATGGTAGGGTCCTTACCGTTGGGCCAACAGGTTTGTGTTCAAGTGACGCCTGCCATGGAGAATGGGCACTGACACATCTTAAATGCTGACATTAAAAAGATACAGGTAATTTGCTATAATCTAAGCAGGCATCTGACTCAGAGAGAAAATTGCTTTTTTAGAAAAGAAGAACAGCCTGTTCAAATAGGTCTCACCAATTACAGAGATCTAGCGTGTAGTTGATTGGTTCCTCCTGTGCCCTAATGACTATGCTTCTTTAGAAATTGTTCCTTAGTAAGTACATTATAAGATCTATTAGCCAATGCATTTGCCTATCCTCCAAAACTTGGCGATATTTACTGCAATATTACTTTTACCAACTATTGCCCATGATTTGTCTGAATCTGATGTAGGAATGGATTTGCTTTGGGCTTTAACTCTCTCATCTTGCCCTACTAAGTCTTCTCTTGCTTTACGCAATTCCCTTCACGTATCCAGATATCTGTACCATTCTTATAATTCCTGTCTACCAGGAATTGTCAATGTTTTTTGCTTAATATTAATATTTACTCATTTCCTCATCAGGATCCTCATCAGTGGCAGCAATGTATAGAGACTATGGAAATCAATGCATTCCGGATTATGATGAAAACTACTCCCAGACCAAGTATGTCTCTGAGCTTACACTTGATAAGCATTGCTAATAATTATAGTTTCTCTCAGGTGCTGTGGTGCAGTATCATTTGTTATTTGAGGGTGAGGCTGGGCAATATGAGTTCAAATCCCACTGGAGCAGAAAATCTTGGGTATGATATGAATTAGCATAGGTTGATCCCACATCCACCTCAATTTGGGATTAGAATGAGGTAAAGAGTTTTAGTTTAACTTTGTAAGTAACGATCTTTTCAATCATTTAAGAGTCATTATTTGTTTACTCTTATTGAAAAATTGAGTAGTCAGGTTAAAAAGAAAATAATCTCAAACAGACTCACTCAGGATGCAGAATAGCATACAGCCAGAACAAGAGCCTTAGCTGGAAATGAAATGGGAGTATGACTCTGTACCACACTGAGAAAGACAAAACAATGGGCTTTAGTCAGGGACGGGAACAAAGTGCAGGCTTCAGAGAAGAGATAGGGTGGCACTGGGAAGATAGGGAGTAACAGGCAACCTGCCACTTTTGGAATGTGTGAAAAACAAGGTGTTTGTCTAAAACAGACCAGTTCTAAATTTAAGTAATGCACTGTCTATGTGACTTCCAATGTATAAATAGCTGATGAATCCTCTTGGAATTAGAGTGCTTTCTTGGAATCCTTTCAGAGATAGACTCGCCCAATGTTGGCTTGACAAACTACCTTGAGGGTCCTGAGATTATTTCATAGAATAATCTACTGTAACAATGCCCGGACAGCTGGTCAAATTTAAAGCGGTCTTGTTGCATGATGGTATGGTCCTTATCTTTGGGTCAACAGTCTGCATTCAAGTGACACTCGCCATGGAGCATGTGTACTAACATGCCTTAAATGCTGACATTAAAAGGATACAGGTAATTTGCTGCATGAAGAGAAGGCATCTCTCCCAAAGAGACATTTTTTTTGAAAGAAAGAAAAGCCTGTTCAATTTTGTTATGACGTAGCCATGAGAACTTGAACCCAGGCCTTTCAGAGGTCAGAGGTCAGAGGTCAGAGGACATTGCCACTGCAACACAAGAGCCTGGCACCAGACAGACAGTTAGTTACAGAGCTTGAGGGGCATTACATATGGGCCAATGAAGAGAGGCAGTTATCCAGTTGGTATATGCATCTGCTATGGTGTCACTCAATGGGTATGACTAATTTGGATTTAACATTATTACAACTGAAATATGGCAAGAAGGGACCAGAGTACCATAAGGCTATTCTCTTGTTAGAGAGAGATGGCTGGTGGTGCATTTAACCTGAGGGTCATCATGTCTCATGTGGTGTGTGAGGTTGAAAAAAACAAGACCTTCATGGTAACCTCACAGTGTGAGAATTGAACTGATGCCCTTAGTCTTAGTATGTAATATTAGGTTCAATGGAGAGTGAGAGTGCAGGAAGGCATGCCAGGAGCAGTATTGGGCAATCCTGAAGATGAAGTTGAACCTGGTGAAGCTACCAAACAGGACTTCTTGCAAACCAAACAACATAAGCAGTAAGTGATAGACAGAGCTAAGCGATCACACAACCAATAGATCAGGTCTAAGCTCTACAGTTCCTGCCACATCCTGTCATGAATGGTGCAGGATGATTAAACAACTCATTGGAGGAGGAGGCTCCACAAATATCCCCATCCTCAATGATGGAAGAGCCCAGCACATCAGTGCAAAAGATAAGACTGAAGCATTCGCAGCAATCTTCAGCCAGAAGTGCCGAGTGGATGATCCATCACAACCTCCTCCAGTGATCCCTAGCATCGCAGATACCAGTCTTCAGCCAATTTGATTCACTCCACGTAATATCAAGAAACAGTTGGAGACACTGGATACTGTAAAGGCTATGGGCCCTGACAACATTCCAGCAATAGTACTGAAAGTCTGTGGTGCAGAGCTTGCTGCTCCCAAGCCACGTTTATCCAGTCCAGTTATAACCCTGCCATCTATCTGACAATGTGTAAAATTGGCCAAGCAGGACAAATCCAACCCGGCTAATTACTACCCCCTCAGTCTACACTCGATCATCAGTAAAGTGATGGAAGGTGTCATCAACAGTGCTATTATGCAGCACCTGCTCAGCAATAACCTGCTCGGTTACACTTAGGTTGGGTTCCACCAGGGCCACTCAGTTCCCGACCTCAGTATAGCCTTTGTTCAAATATGGATGAAAGAACCAAATTTCAGAGGTGAGATGAGAGTGACGGCCCTTGACATCAAGGCTGCTTATGCCCAGGTGTGACAATAAGGAGCCCTAGCAAAACTGGAATCAAAGGGTATTGGGGGAAAACTGTTTGCTGGAGTCATACCTGGCACATATGAAGATGGTTAGTGGAGGTCAGTCATCTCAGCTCCAGGACATTTCTTCATGAGGTCTTCAGGATAGTGTCCAAGGCTCAACCATCTTCAGCTGCTTCATCAATGACCTTCCCTCCATCATAAGGTCAGAAGTGGGGATGTTCACTGTTGATTGCACAATGTTTAGCACCATTCACAACTCCTCAGATACTGAAGCAGCCCAAGTTGAAATGGAACAAAATCTGGACAATTTTCAGGCTTCAATTGACAAATGACAAGTAACATTCATACCAGATGCCAAGCAATGACCATCTCCAGTAAAAGATAATTTAACCACTTCCATTGACATTCAGTGGCATTACCGTCATTGAAACCCCACTGTCAACATCCTGGGGAATGTCAACTGGAATCATCATACAATTTTTTTTATTCATACATAGGATATGGATGTTGGTGGCCAGGTCAGCATGCATTGCCTGCCCCTAATAGCCTGGAGGGCAGTTAAAAGTCAACCACATTATTATGGGTCTAAAGTCACATGTTGGCCAGACTGGGTAAAGACAGCTGTTTACTTCCCTAAAGGACATTAGCGAAATAAATAAATATCTTCTCAATAATCATTCCATGGTCACCATTAGACTCTCAATTCCATATTTTTATTGAAAACAAATTCTACCATCTGCCATCATAGGATTTGGAACCCAGGTCCCAAAACATTACTTGGGTCCTTGGATTAATAGCCTAGCAATGATACCACTAGGCCATCTCCTCCCCCTATACAAATACCGTGGCTATAAGAGCAGGTTAGAGAGTAGGAATATTGAGGTGAGTAACTCAACTCCTGACTCCCCAAAATATCTACAAGGCACCAGGTGTAGAGTCATACAGCATGGAAACAGACCCTTTGGCCTAAGTAGTCCACATCAACCATGTTCCCAAACTAAACTATTCCCACTTGCCTGTGCTTGGCCCATATCCCTCCAAATCTTTTCTATTCGTGTACTTATCCAAATGTCCTTTAAATGTTGTAACTGTACCCGCACCCACCGCTTCCTCCAACAGTTCATTCCATAGACGAACCACTCTCTGTGTAAAAAAGTTGCCCCTCATGTCCTTTTTAAATTTTTCTTCTCTCACTTTAAAATATGACCCCTAGTTGAATTCCCCCAACTTAGGGAAAATGCCTTTGCTATTCACCTTAGCTATGCCCCTCACGATTTTATAAACCTTAATAAGATTACCTCTCAACCTCCTACGCTCCAGTGAAAAAAGTCCCAGCCTTTCCAGCCTACTTTTATAGCTCAAACCTGCCATTCCCGCAACATCCTGGTAAATGAACACTCTCTAGTGTCATAATATCCTTTCTATGGCAAGACCACCAGAACTGCACACAGTACTCCAGAAGAAGCCTCACCAACATCCTATACAACCTCAACATGATGTCCCACGTCCCATACTCAAATGTCTGAGCAAAGAAAGCAAATGTGCTAAATGTCTTCTTAACCAGCTTGTCTAGCTGCGACGCAAAATTCAAAGAATTATGTACCTGAACCCCCAGGTCTTTCCATTGTACAACACTACCCAGAGCCCTAGCATTAATTGTATAATTCCTCTCCTTGTGTTTTTTTTTAACCAGAATGCAAGACCTCACATTTATCCAAATTAAACTCCATCTGCCACTCCTCAGCCCATTGACCCAATTGATCAGGGGTATAATGGAATACTCTCCACTTGCCTGGAAGAATGCGACTCCAACAACACTCAAGAAGCTTGACACCACCCAAGACAAAGCAGCCCGCTTGATTGGCACCACATCCAAAAGCATCACTTCCTCCACCAATGACCCTCCATAACAGCATCGAGTACTTAATTACAAGATGTACTGCAGAAATTCACCAAAGATGTTGAGACAGCATCTTTAAAACCCATGATGACTTCCATTTAGATGGACAAGGGCAGCAGATAATTGAGAACACCACCACCTGCAAAGTTCGCCTCCAAGCTGCTCACCATTCTGACTTGGAAATATATCATTCTTTCATTGTCCCTGGGTCAAAATTCTGGAACTCCCTCCCTAACACATTATGGGTCAACCTACAGCACATGGACTGCAACTATTCAAGATGGCAGCTTACTACCACGTTCTCCAGGGCAACTGGGAAGGGCAAAAAATTCTGGCTCAGCAAGTGACCCATGAGTAAGTACAAAAGTATCACCCTATATTGCAAATTAACTTTGCAGCCAAGTGAGATAACTGACGTCTGGGCAAAATATCTTGCTATCAAGAACACCATTGATAGGAAAGATTAAAAACAAATGATTAGGAGGCAATGGCCTTGTGATATTATTGCCGGACTGTTAATCCGGAGACCCAGATGACATTCTGGGGACCCAGGTTCAAATCCCGCCAGGGCAGATGGTGGAAGTTGAATTCAATAAAATATCTGGAATTAAGAATCTAAAGATGACCATGAATCCATTGCCAATTGTTGGAAAAACCCACCTGGTTCACTATTGTCCTTTAGGGGAGGAAACTGCCGTCTTTACCTGGTCTGGCCTACATGTGATTCTAGACCCACAGCAATGTGGTTGATTCTAAACTGCCCTCTGGGCAATTAGGGATGGGCAATAAATGCTGCCTGGCCAGCAACACCCTCATCCCATGAATGAATAAAGAAAAAAAAGGAGAGTTTTAGTGT